CAAGCATTTAAACCTAGGCACAATGGGAAAGTACCATACCACCTTCTTCGGACTCTTTCCATTATCCTTATAATGTGATGCATTATATTTAGGACACTCAATTAATAATGCATATTCATTCCGAAACAAAGCACAATCATTAGGGCAAGCATGTATCTTCTCATAACTCATGCCCACAGATCGCAACACTTGTTTTGCATCGTATGTTTAGGTTGGAAGCTTGTTACCCTTTGGTATCATTTCATGAATAAGTGAAAGAAATTGTGTGAAGATCACATCAGTCAGCCCACCTCTTGCTTTCAAGTTGAACAATCTCAGCACAGTAGTGAATTTTGAGAATTCTGTACAATTAGTGTATAAAGGTGTCCCTGCATCATTTCTCAACCTCTCTAGTATTTTTGGACAATCCCGGAGTTCCTTTTCAATAGCATTAGTCATCTCTTCAACACGATTATCCTTGTCTATACTTGTTTCGAAATCATGTGACATGTACGTATTGCTATACTCACGGCTTTTATCAGTTGTATCCCTCGACTCACTATGCTTATGCCAACATGTATAAGTATGATTAATTCCAAAACACACTAAATGATCTTCCAACTTGCACACACTAACCCGTTTTAAGAGGCCACATTTTACACAAGGGTATATAATGCTATTATGGTCTGCCTCATGCTCTAGTGCAAATCTAATGAACTCTTTCACCCCATAAACATATTCTTTTGTGACTCTATTCCCAAACATCTATTTCTTGTCCATAATTTCTCTCAAACTAACAAGAATTGTTGAGAAAAATGATATTAGTGACTCAATCATATTGAAAGAGTTACTTTAATGAATATATTAATTACTAACTCAATCAATCATGAGTCACATGCTTTCAAACACACACACATATCATCCCTCTCTAAAATAATTAAATTTAAGATAATACTTACAATTATATTAAATTAATTATAAGTATTTTATCTTATGTAAAAACTTGCCAACAAGTGAATTCTTCTATTTATAATTTATAAAAAATTAAGAATTATTTTATGTTGGTTATAATCATAAAAAATCATTTTTTATTTATAATAATAAGTAATATATATATATATATATATATTTCAATATTAACATTAATATATAGGCCCAACTATTATAAAAATTATATGTCATTAATTTATAAAAACTAATTTCATTGAAATTTTTTACCCTTATTCAAAACAAATAAAAAAAATTTTATTGTATAAAAAATTGCTTTTTAATTTTTAAAAAAATTTAATCAAAAGGGCCCTTAAAATGCCAAACTATTAATTTCAAATAAAAATTCAACAGCATAATGACATAAAAATAAAATTTTTCTAAGCATTTTGCCCTCATTCCAATCACATTATCATCATCATCAAAAACAACAATATCACATGTTATTTAAAACTATAAATTATACATAAATAACAATTTTGAGTAAGCTAAAAGTATTCATATACAATTCTAATTATCATGAAACTTCATATATTACTCAATCATTAGAATCAAACAATAAAATTTTTTCACTCAAACTAGTTAAATATTGTTCAAACAAAAAATACATAAAACATAGACAATAAATTCAGATAAAAATAAAAACTAAATATAACTCTCTTCTAATCATATATTATTAGTCTAACATGCATTTTCAAATGACTCATAACTTAAATTTTATGTGGGTTCTTGCTAAAGGTCATTTTTTTTCTATGAAGCATTTTACCAAATAGCTTGCGTGCGATACCAATAACACCCAAAATCAATATAATCTAATCTAACAAAATAAGAGTCTAATCAAGAATAAGTAATCCATACACCAATGAAATACAAAAACCAAGTTAAATCATTTCAAAGAGCAAGAGATTCAGAAGAAATAAGAAGAGAAAATGAGAGCACTTACGCGTAAGAGAGAGCAAAGCAAGAGGAGAGACAAGATCTTCAGTGATGGGAGACGAGTCATCGGTGGTAGAGCAGGAGAAGAGAGTGGTGGGAGAGTAAGAGAGAGCTTGGAAGAGATTAATGGCCAAAATGAGAGGAGAGGAGACAGCGAGACAAAAGACCAAAAGAAATTAGATTTGGAAATGGAGAAGAGGGATACCAAACTGATATAAAATGCACATATTGGATGGTTAAAATATTAACCATCCAATATTCATAAGCTTTATTGGACCGTTATTCATAATAACCGTCCAATAAAGTCTTAAAAAAAGAGAAAAATAGAAAAATTCAAACATATATTAGACAGTTTTAAAAATAACCGTCCAATATATCTTTTATATTGGACAGTTATAATTATAATCATCCAATAAGGCCCATCATATATACTCATTTCTATAATAGTGTCAATAGCATGAGGTTTGATTTGACTTCTATTTTTTTTCCCATGATCTTTGTCTTTTTATCTCCAAAACAAATTCTCTCAATGTGAAATTTTTTTAATCATTGTTATTCAAATTATTTTTTTTTGTAATTCTGTCTAAGTTTTATATCCTTTTAATTCAGTGGTAACGTGGCTCTCCCAAGCACTTGATTATATTGCAAAGATTTTTAAAATACTTTCTCAAATAAAAACATGCCTCATTTAACAATTAACATCAATTCCATATAGTTAATTAATCACCTTTTTTGTTTTATTTGTCATCAAATGCTAAAAGAATCCCTCTTCCAACATTTTGGATGTATATAATCATTTTTAAATATAAGTAAAACATATTTAAAACATATATATTTACATTTACTTATCTTGTTAGCTAATTTAATATTATTTGAGAGTGAAGTTTACATCTCTACAAATATGCTGAGTCTTAATATTACATAATCTTTTCAACAAAACAAATTATTTGGGTAATTTTTCTTAAACCTGAAAAAGCACACCTTGCATCTCTTCTCTGTTCTCTCTCTTCCTTCTTGTACTTTCATGTTTCCTCTTTCACTGATTCTTAATAAATAAATGCGAAACTAAGTTGATGCTTTTATATGTGGAAAAGGATAAGGTTTGTTCAAAGGAATTTTTGAATTTCCACGAGATCAATCCAAAGAAGATATGCTTTACGGAAGGGAGAAAAAAAAATCAATTTAGAACAATAACCTCATTATGTCTAATGATGAGGATTGAATTTGTACATGTTTTTTAGGTTGATTTAACTGTGATTGCCTTTAAAGATGTGGAGAACTAATTAATTAGTTATCCATATCAACCATCAGATATTGAATGCCTTCATACTAGAACTAATTACATGTTCTTCTCCTGTGTTCCTCCAACCGGGATAGAGGATCAGAGGATTAATCAAATTTTCTGTTTGTATGAGAAAGTTGTCTTACATCAGTTTTCGTTGATTTAATCCCCCCCCCCAACACACACACACACACAAAATACTCCATCCATCCCAAATTATATGACACTTTTGAAATAAACTATAATACTCCTAAATTATAAAGCATTTTTGAAAGAATTTTTTCGTTCTGTTCTAAAATATAAGACACTTTAAGTAGATTAAGATTTTATTAAATGTATTAATTCTAATATTACTCTTTCTCTCTCTATAATTATTTTCCATCCCTTCTCTTTTCATTGTATTAAATGATGAGAATTTTTAAAAGTTATATTTTTATTTTAGAAAGATAAGATTGTTAAGTATATTTAATGAGGTTTATCAGTATGTGAAATTTTGTCTAAAATTGTCTTATAATTTCGGGCAGAGGGAGTATAATACAGTATAGGAAATCTTTTACCGTCTAAGAAAGTCATATAACCAAAAGTAGAGCACCATATTCTTGAAATTCTTCAAAATGAAAAGAAAGTCCTTGAAATAAAAATAAATTAAAAGAATAAACTAGGAAAATATAACTTGAGGAACATTGAAGGTATTTTATATTAAAAAAAGATATTAAGATTTTAATTTTTCACTGTACTCACTTGGTCCTTAGTTGAAAATAAATTTTTCTGAGAGATGACTTAATTGCCCTTCTTAATGAAAGAGAAACAAATAAATAAGAATTGGTTGTTAGTGTCTAAATGTGTTGTTGTCAATGACGAAGTGGCTTTTGTCAAAACTTGAACAACTTATTATTTATTCAAGGTAAACACTTGTTCCATTAAAATTGTGTTGTTAATTTTTCAATCTTGTTAAAGTTCGAATGTATTATTGTCAATCATAAATTGATTATTCTCAAAATCTGAATGACTTATTATTTATGCAAGATAAACACTTATTCTACGCTATTAGTTTTTCAATATTGTTAAATTTCAAATGTGTTGTCGTTAGTAATCATAAATTGGTTGTTGTCAAAACATGAATCACTTGTTATTTTAAACTTTGAGGATAATTTAGTCATTTTTCATAAAAAGTTATTTTCAGCTAAAGACCAAGAGTGTGTAATAAAAAATCAGAATTGTAAAGTCTTTCTTGATATGAAATACCTCCAACAATCCTTTGATGATATTTTCCCAATAAACTAAGTAATTAGCATAATCATAATTAAACAAGCTAAGATAGAAACAATCCGAGTTAGGTGGTTATTGAATCTCAGATGAAGACATAATTAAACAAGTTTTTGTTTTCAATTAAATAAAAATAATCATGCCTTTATGAGGGCAGATGAGAACAGGAAGTGGGGAGCAACAGAGTCTCCATAATTAACCACTGCTGACCATCATTATTAGTCTTTTTTTAACTCTAAAATTATTTTTATATTAATATAACTAAATAAATTTTCATTTTTTTTGTTTTTGTTTTCTTTTGATGAAAACCAAATTTTAAAAATTACTTTACAAAACAGTTTAAAAAAAATAGAAGAGTACAAAACCAAACAACCTTTAATCAAATTAACACAAAACCAAAAAAAAAAAAAAACAAACAAACAAAGAAGGATCAGTAACAAAAGTTAAAGTATAACCTGATACCGGATAGTCCGACCCCTTTCAGCCATCAATACAGTTGACAATATGCGATAAAAACGAACCCAACGACTAGCAAAGCTGCCATAACACACTATATTATCAGCCAAGGAACCATGAACAACCCCATCTTGTCATCATCATCATTGGCTGGAGCAAGGTTTTTGTCGACTCCATCATTATTGGCTGCCTGTACTCGGGTCGACCCGTCTCTAAAGTCCACAAAAGAAAGGAAAGAGTGATTACTGTCAGAAAGGGAATCAAAAAGATGGTGACGAGGTACCCAAGCCAGTTTCATGGGATTTCCCTGACCTACCACGATTATTCTTCTTTCATTATATGGGAAGTCAAGTATATCAATCCCACTTATCATCATTCCGCGCCTCACGCCAGGACAACTCAGAAGTCCTTCCATATCGATTCCTCTATCTGAGCCCTCTATGTTGGCCAGAACAACAAGCTTTTTCATGTTTCTTACATGTTCAAGCATGATCTTATTATCCTCATCATTATCAGCAGTGTAAACAAAAACGTCGATCTTAGGCAAAGCCTCCTCAAGCTTCAGAACAGGTCCCTCCGTTCCCCAGTGGACGTGGCCATCCTCATATACTGCCACATCAGCTCCCGCTTGCATTAGCGCATGAGTGCACCTTTTGCCTTCATCGCCATAATCCCACACCAAAAATTTCTTCCCAGCAATGACCCAATTGATGGCTTTAAGGAGTATATAAGGAAAAGCGTAGCGGTAACAGCTCAACTTAGGGACCTGCAGCCGGATCAAAATGATTATTGAGCATAATTAATATGAGAAACTGATAAGCAAACAACTACAAAAACCACCTACAAAATCTCGTGCATTGAGGAAAAAAAAAATCTTAGATAGATCAGGGGCATCACTTCATCTATACTGTGGCCTACTCAATTAAAACATGATATCTTATTTAATTTTAATTCTACCTGTCAGTCTACCTGTTATTTACTTTATTTATTTTATTTTATTTTTTTAAAAAAGTAATGGTTCTTTTTTTTTTTTTTTTACCAGCGAAAAGGTAATGGTTCTAAAATCTGATTTGAATAAATTATTTTAATCAAGTTTTTTCATGGAAATTCTCCTCCTTCTCTCTCCTTTGAGGATGCCCTTTTTCTTCTCCTACTTTTTATTGATGAAGTTTTACCACTGAATGACTCGCTGTCGATTAGTTTAGGAATTGATAGTTGGTGTCGCCGTTGATTACACACGTCACTTTCACAATCGAACAATTTGATCTCTTCCTCTCCTCTCTCTCCTTCCTTTAATCATTGTTTCCCTCTTATTAAACCTAAATCTCAACTTCCTTGCCAAATAATTCACAGGATGTTGTCACTAATTTAGGTTAAGCTTGGATTCCCCCCCCTTTTGAAGAGTTAGTATTCTTCTGGAATTTGGGGGCAATTGAAGAATTGAAGGTGATCATGTTGGGATCATTAGTGGCTGTTGTCATGAGCACAAGTCCAATGAAAAAATTCATCCCAAAAAACTAGCCTGCTAGAAGAAGAGTCTCTCACACTTATAAACCGTACTCCACCTGTAAGAAGCTAGATGTAGGAGCCATTACAATGCCACTCTATTGAGAGACGATGCTCCCAATAGCCACTACTATAAAACAAGCTTTTAGGAGTGCCTATTTAAGAGCACTTATGGAGAAAAGCACTTCCATTACTAGATGTGGAAGATACAAGAGGGCTTTTTATTAAAGTGCTTTACTTAAAAAGTGAGTACACTTATACATAAATAAAGAAATTTGAAAATAAATAAATTATTTAGGAGCACTCATGAATAAAATGCTCCGAAAGATTATAGTTAAAACAATTTGCATAAACCTTTAGGAGCACTTATAGGATAAGCGCTCATATAAGTTAGATTAAAAAATAAAAAAAAAGGGAGAATGACAATTAAGGACTTTCTAAGAACATTAATTTCAATTGCGAACTGTGAAATTTTGAAATCTCAGTTAAGGATCATGGTCGTTAATTGTGATAAAAAAATGTAGTTTGTGAGGTGAAATTTATTATTGCTACTTGGGAATTCACTAACCCAACTTGAAAAAATTTGTAACGTATATTGTGAAAACATAAAACCCCACTTGGAAATTAATTGTTTAACAAAAACCGCCACTTGAGAATTTACTAACTCGACTTGAAAAAATTTCCAACGTATATTATGAAAATATAAAACTTCACTTAGGAATCGATTGTTTAATAAAAAAACACCAATTTGGACAAGTCACTATTTATTAATGATTCTCAAGTGGGGTTTCATTTTTTCACAATATACGTTAGAAATTTTTTTAAGTCTAGTTAGTAAATTTTCAAGCAGCGCTTTTTGTTAAGCATTCCATTTCCAAGTGGGGTTTCATGTTTTCACAATATATATTAGTAATTTTTTCAAGTTGGGTTAGTGAATTCCCAAGTCGCGTTAGTAAATCCCACCTCACAAATTATATTTTTTTTATCACAATTAAGGACCATGAGATTTCAAAATTTCATGGTCTGTAATTGAGATTAATGTTCTTAGAAGGTCTTTAATTGTCATTCTCCCTAAAAAAAATTAAGGTATCCATTTAGAAGCGCTTATAATATAAGTGCTCCTAAAGGTTACATTAAAAAATAAAAAAAAATTAGTGTAGACATTTAGGAGCTCTTATCCTAAAAGCGCTACAATAAGTTGGGATATTTAGAAGAGCTTATAATATAAGCACTCTGAAAGGTTGTCTTAAAAAAATAAAAAAAATTAGCATAACCTTTAGGAGCGCTTATATTAGAAGCACTCCTATAGGTTAATATATTTAGGAGTGTTTTAAAATAATGCACTCCTAAATGTCTATACGAGAGCATTTATACCTTAAGTACTCAGATAGGTTATTTTTTATTTTTTCTAATTGGTAATTTATTTTTGGTTTTAACACCTGAGCCTCGATAGACACATTCTTGTGCGACTCTTTGGTTCTTGTTCTCTCAAAACCCTCCCTCTCCATTCTTGCTTCCAACTTCTCCTCTACGGTAGCCGTCAGCAGTCGTCGGATCTTCTCTTTACTGCAACCTAAAGCGCGTCACAGAGGTCACCATTCATGGAGCTGTTCATCGCGTCGCCAGAATCTAACTCTTTAGATCCCATAGAAATCATGATCATTAAGCACTGAAAGCTATTTGAAAATGGGGTCATTCTGTTTGAAATCTGTGTCAAGGTTAGCGTCCGTAGTCATCCAGCTGTGTGTCGCCAGAGATTTGTCTCTTCTCTGCTATTCTCGTCCAGCACCATGCGTAGCAGGTACATTTTTTCAAATTTTTTAAAAATTATATAATCATATATTTTTGTTGATAAATTGTTATATATATATATATATATATTAATAATATACGTTTGATAATAATAATTTATTTCTTTTGTTAAATTTTTATTGACATTAAGCTACTCTCATGTTAGGTAAAATTAAGCTATAAATTAATTATAATTGTTATATGATTGAGCTGTTATATAAATAAATTTTGATGTGGTTATGTTAAAATTTAATATATGTTAGTTAAGAAGTTAGATGTAGTTATTATTGAATTATGACTATAATAGTATTAAGTTAATGGATAAACCTTAGATAAATTATAATTGCTTGATATATGTTTGGTACATTATGCTATAAAATTTTTATTTAGATAAATTGATATACTGAATTATTAAATTTCATTATTAGGGATACTCTAATTTTTGGGGAGACTTCTGCTGAATTTTTTTAAAAAAATATTCTAAATCTATGTTTTTTAAATTTTTATGACTATATTAGTGATATGAATCATACATGGATGTCGGCTAATTGATTGTCTAAAGAATATTAGGATGGAGTAGATGAGTTTATTGAGTTTGCATTTTCTCATAATCAAGACTTCCGTGAAGTCATATGTCCTTGTTTAAAATGTTGCCATGGAAGATGAATAAAGCCAATAAAATTGAAAGATTATTTGGTATGTAATGAGATTGATCCAACTTACACTTGTTGGACCATGCATGGTGGGACAAGGAATTACACTAGTAATTGGAGGGATAGTGTAAACTATACATTATTTGATCGTAATAGTGGAATATATGATATTGACCGTCTCAATGAGATGATTGATGTGGTTGAAAAGGATCTTAAGGACTGTCCTAAGATATTTGAGAGGTTGAAGAGTGATGTTAATAAACCATTATATCCCAGTTGCAGGAAATTTACAAAATTGTTAGTTATTCTGAGATTGTACAACCTAAAAGCAGCTAATGAATTAAGCAATAAAAGTTTCACAAATTTACTTGAACTTTTGTATGAGATGTTACAAAAGGTGCCAAGTACTTAACATGGCATGCTGATAAGAGAAGTAAGGATCACAAGCTACAAAACCATACAAATTCTCCTTAGTAGAAAAAGTTTGATTTTATGTATCCTGAGTTTAGGGATAAAGATAGAAACATGCGCCTTGCATTAGCCACTAACAGAATGAACCCTCATGGCATGTAAAGTAGTACTCATAATACATGACCGGTAATTTTAATGATATATAACCTCCCTCTATAGTTGTGCATGAAGGGCAAATTTATGATACTGTCATTGTTAATTTTTAGGCCTTGACAACCAAAAAATGATATAGATGTATACTTGACACTGTTAATTAAAGATTTAAAGCTATTGTGGGAGACGAGTGTAGAGGCCTATGATAGGTACAAGGAGGAACATTTCATCTTATGAGCTATGTTATTTGACACTATAAATGACTTTCCTGCCTATAATAACCTATCAAGATACAATATTAAAGGGCAAGATGCATGCCCTGTATATGGAGAGCATACTTGTTTAATGCGATTGGAACATTGTCGGAAGAATGTCTTTATGGGTCATTGTCAATATTTTCCCCAAGCACATTATTATCGATAGTTAAAAAGGGCCTTCAATGGCCACTCAGAGAAAGGTAGAGTTCCTTTGCCTTTAACTAGTAAGCAGCTTTTTGAAAGGGTTAAAGATTTGAATATCAAATTTGAAAAACTATTTGCAAGTAGAGTTGTTACAAATGGCTAGAAAAAAGAAGTCTATCTTCTTTGAATTGCCATACTACAAGTCCTTAGTTGTGAGGCATTTCCTTGATACAATGCACATTGAAAAGATTATTTGTGATAGTCTCATTGACACATTACTCTACTTTCAAGAAAAAGCAAGAACGGTATCAATGCAAGGATGTACTTAGTTAGTATGGGGTTAGGAGAAGAGTTAGCACTAGAGAGCAAGGGAAAACATAATTTTCTACCTTCAGTAACTTACACTTTATCTCGAAAGGAAAATTTGGCCTTTTATGAATTCTTGCATGGAGTTAAAGTATCAAAAAGATATTCTTCAAATATTAATAGACTTATATCCATAAAAGATCTAAAACTTGTCATATTATTATGGAAAATCTATTGCCGGTAGGTCTACGCTCTATTTTACTAAAGAAGATGCATGGAACCATTGCCAAACTTTATTTCTTCTTCAAATCAATTTGTATCAAGGTGATTGACCTAGAGAAATTGCCTAAATTGAAGCATGAAATAGCTAAGATCTTGTGTGAGCTTGAAATGTATTTTCCACCTTTATTCTTTGACATCATTGTTCACTTGCCATTTCACTTGGTTAGAGAGATAATGTTATGTGACCTAGCTTATCTGAGATAGATGTACCTAATAGAGCATTATTTGAAGGTATTAAAAGGATATATGAAAAATCAAAGTCAGCCTGGAGGTTGTATTATTGAGAAGTACATCATGGAAGAAGCGGTTGAATTGTGTGCTGGACATCTTTCTAATGTGGATGCTATTGGATTGACAAAGTACACGAAGGATATCACAGGTGAGCATGGTGGAATTATTGGAAAAAGGTTCATTAGCATAGACAAGACACAATGGAAACAAGTTCACTTATATGTCTTACACAATACTGAGGAGATTGAGCTATATTTCAAAGAACACATGGCAATAGTTATTAGTCAAAACAAGGATAAGCATGAAAGTTAGCTAATAACATATAACAATCAGCATTTTATATGTTGGTTTAAAGCTCGCATCACTAAGGAGCTGTAACCATCAAAAATGTTGAGATTCTTGGCCAGGGATCCTAGATTTAGAGTATTTTCTTTTATGAGTTATGTAATTAATGGCATTACATTCTACACAAAAAGTCAAAATGCTCGAAGCACTATGCAAAATAGTAGTGTAACACTTGTATAGCTCAATTAGTGCATGTCTTTAGTTCTAAAGACAAGAACCCTATCTATGCAAAGATGGATTATTTTAGGGTGATAGAGTACATTTGAGAGTTAAATTATATCAAGTTCTGTGAACTAATCTTCTATTGCAAGTGGGTTAATAATAAAACTAACTTTCGAATTGATGATGAGTTGGATTTCATTCAAGTAAATCTTAATAAGGTAAGTTGTAAAGATGAATAATTCATTTTGGCATCGCAAGCTCAACAATTGTTCTTCGTGTTAGATCTAGTGCACAAAAATTAGTCAATTGTTCTTCTAACAAATAAAATAGCTGATAATGAAGATGATAGAGATTTCAATGTTGAGGATGACCCTTTCATGGGGACATCATGTATAGTTGCTGCTTTGACAGGGGATAATACTTTTTACATTAAAGAAGATAACATGGAAGGGATTTGGATTGATGAAACATATGTAGAACAAACAAAAGAAAAGACAAAGAAAAGGAAAAAAATGTCTCAATGGTTGTAAGATATTGGTTTTAATTTTTCTAAAAATTTACTTTTATTTACTCTTTTTATTAGGACTAACAAGTTATTGTTGTGTTTAATTTTTCTTGTAGATAAATGGCCACTCCAACTAATTCCCATGATAAGAGTAATGATGCTCCACCTACTCAAGAAGACATAATTAAAGAGGTCAAGCGGGGAAAAACTGTTATGAAAGCAGTGATACAAGCTCAGGCAACTGTTCAAAAATTACTAGTATATTGGAATGATAAGGGCCAACTAGTTAAGTATGCTCAGTTAGTCAATTATATTGGGGTTCTAGAATATCACTACATGCCTTGTTGTATTGTAGATTGGAGAAAGAAAAATGACTTAGAGATTGAACAAGCAAAAAATAATATTTTAAAAGATCTTATAATATCTTTCAACCTAGATGAGAGCCGCAGGCATTATATCAGGAGAAAAGCTACATATGCCTATAGGAAATTTTGAGCTACTCTTACAACATATCATCTTAAGGATGCAAATGGAAAAATCAATTCACATGCTCTTAAAATGTATCCTGAGATTCAGTAAAAGTATTGGGATGAATTTATTAAAATGTGCTAATAGCCTAAATTTCAATAGATAAGTCAGCTCAATTGCTTTAGAGCTATAAATACTCTTTTCCCATTTAGAGTAAGAAGAAAGAGCTATTCAAATATTAAGCATGGTTTGGTATGTGCTAGTTAATAACTTATAATATTACCCATAGAGAAATGGTTTTTAATCATTCTAATATCTTACCTTCTGTGAATAAAAGAAAGATACTGGATTGGATGCCACAATTACTCGTGCTCTTGTATGGAAGATAGCTCGAGAGGATAAGAAAGGTAGAATACCAGATGAGCGCACTCGAAAAGTTAGGGAGGATTGTGTGAGTATTAATGTCTTAGTGTATTTACTTCATTTATTTAATAACCAATTTACAATTTATTCAATAGGAAGCATTGTCACAATCAGTATCACAGGATGATGTGAGTGGCCATATGGATGTTCTTGGTAGGGCATTGAGAACCCCATAAGTCTTCAATCATGTTAGAGGAATTGGATTAGATGCTTTTCAATGCACTTATTTTGGATATTAGTCCAAAACTTTTATTTAACAAGATGTAATGACAAAGGTGGCTGAAAGCATGGCAAAAATGGAGGTGAGAATAAGAAAAAAAATTATAAAAGCAGATGCAAAAGAAATTTAAGTAAATGATTGGATTAGTAAATGTGCCAGCAATCAGCCCTGGCAAGAGAGATAGCTGCTCATTCCATACTAAAGAAGATTTTCCCAAGATTT